CAAAAATTAAAAAAAAAACTAGAATTAATTTTTTACTTGGTAATAAAGGGCCTCAAACAATTTATTATAGTAAAATGAAAAGGCAATATAATTATGGAACAAAAGAACCCCCAAAGAAATAAAGCACCATGTAATTAAGAAAACCCAAACCTATTGGCCTGGAGTGTGCCACAGTGTCAATACAAAGAAAACCTAAATTCCACTCAAAAATCTGATAACTAGCAGCTGAGGACAATTTTAATTTGGAGAGTGGTTAAGTAGTGGAGCTGGTGCCCTTTCTGTTGCAGGGGTGTTTTTCAGATTAAGAAGATGATCAAGAAGATATTTTTAGCCAAAGATACTAGAAAGATTATACAATTCTTGGCAAAATTTCCTATCTTGCTTACTAGGGTTGTTCAGAACAAACATTTCCATGGTCTTTTCCAGCTTTAAATTCTGTGAGGAGTTAGACATTCAAAACATTTTGATGTGCAGGCTCCTATTCATTTTTTTACACAAACTCCTGCTATCCACTAAGGTATCTTGTAACATCAACTGTATTTTTAACAAGGTTGCTACTTCACAGCAATAGAAGAGAAGAAATGTGAGCACAGACTACAAATCTGTTAAACCCAGTGCTAAAATGCAAGCTCAAGCAAAGCCAGCCATGTTCCAGCTGTGTCTGGAGGGCTAGTCAACTAGGGATTTTTCTTCCTATTCCATTCCAAGAAAAATTGAGTACATTGAATGGGAATAAATCACACATCGATAAAATACACCAGAAAATGCTCATGAGGAAACTCACTACTGAAACCTCAATCAGCAGATCTGCTGTGCCTGCACAAAGCTATGTATTACTGCAGACAGAGAAAAATAAAGGAAATAATTAAGAGTTTGTATTTGAGATTGGAACTAGGCAGAGTTCCATCATGAAACCTCTTTAAAGGTTTAAAAGCTCTACTTTAAGAAATCCATATATTGCTAATGGCCACCTCCCAAACAACCTACATTTGACTACCAAAACTCATGCAAAATTTCTGTTTTCAGGGTACAATATATAGCATTCCCCTTTTCTTTTGCTCACTGTATTTTTCTACTTACTACTTCTGACCTCAATTCTTCTATTTTTTGGCTGGGATATTGTTTTTCTTTTGCTTTGGCTTTTTTTTCCAAGGAGAACTTTTGACTTTTTTGTGCTCTTCACCACAGATTTTGTTTTTCAAAAACCATGAAATTACTCAGCAACATCTGTCAAGCCAAGGAATTAACCTGAAAATAGTTAAAACAGCATATAATTTTTGCCTCCTATTCCTCAACAATACAATCAATATAACAATATATACTTACTAGTCTGCTTTTCCTACGGTAATGGACACAGGGGATGGAGCTACACAGATGTGACCACTCTGTCCAGGCAGGCCTTGTGCTGAGCTTGGCAAAAGAGAACAGAGGAAAAAATGTCCCTAGAAAAATGTCCACAAAATCTAAGAACAATAACAAAAAAAAAAAGGGATAAAGGAAGTGAGCAGAAAGTAGTGAAAGGGTTTTTCTAATGCTATAGAGTAGTTCAGCAGCGGAACAAGTAATAGGAATACAGTTCTTCCCAAGCCCCTCTGTTGCCCAAACCACAAGATGTGCTGCTGCATACCAGTGATTATTCTATGAGATCAAGAATTGACTGTGTATCGATTCACTATTTAGAAGCTGAAAACAGACAAACAGTTCAGAAGTGTAGTAAGAAATCAATGGATCACTGTTAATTTCCTTCCCAGTATCCATTGTTTGCTATGAGATGCTTCCACGCAGCATTTATGGGAGCTCTCTAACCAACAATGCAGCCCTTCTTATTCCAAGCAGTAACATACTTTTTAAAGTTTCATTTCCAAGAAGATACTTCAGCAACTAAAAGGTTTAAAACTTCTTAGTTTGTCAAGCTCTTTAAGGGTGCTGGGGGAAAGAAAAGGTTGGTAGATTCAGCGGTGAAAATAAATTCCCCAAAAGAAGAGGAGATGTTTTGGCAATGAATAATAAGTGGAAAAATGGTGAAAACATCAGTTGTGAAAACTCAGACTTCTAAAAGTGTTCCTACAAGGTCTCAAATTTATTTACAGACAGTAATGCATCTATAGTTACAACAATGTTCTGAAATAGGTCAAGATAGCCTTTTCCCTGCACATTAGTTATCCAAGGCACAAAGAAGATAACAGTAACATTCCCAAAGTCTGACTTGCTGCAAAACTAATAAAGCCAGGTCACATATTTTCTGGTCTTGATATGAAACTCATTCAGAACAGCAGACTTTACTAACACAAAATTCTTTAAACACCCTGCAAAGGAGCAAAGGGGTTATGTTGGTTTTTTTATTGCAGCCATTTAGAAACACTGGGAATCATTTATCAAAGGCCCAATGTAGTAGTACTGGCAGCAAAATTCAGTTCTCTACATATAACTATTGATTTTTACTCATCCTGGTTTTGCTTATGAACGTAAGTAGCTTGTACTTCCTAGAGCAAAGTAAAAAGTAAGAGAAATTTCGTCTTTCTTAGGTAAAGAACACATCAGCAAGTCATAATAGGTAATTACAAAAGGTTACTCTGCATCAAGAAATATTTTACAGTGTGCTTAATAGGTGTATCGATAACATGCAGTCAAACTAATTAAATGTAGAAATTTGTTGACTATCATCTTCTGTAGCTAAGATTAAAAGCAGGTATTTTAAGGAAAGTGGCCAGAACTCCAAAAGACAAGTGCTCATGCATTCATCTGGCTCAGTCATACTGTAGGCTGTACAGATGCTGTGTGACTAACACTGCCAGAATTACATGATATGTAATATGGAAAAGTGTGATCCTACAGAGTAAGACTAAGGTTTGTGGTTTACTGATTGGAAAGATCTGCTGTGTCACTGTCTATATAAGCTGCATTGTGGCCAACCCTTGGCCAAAGGATAAATATATATGGTTTCCTATTCTGCCAAGACATAGCCTCCATTGACATGTCCACTTGAAAAGCTGAAGTAAACTAACCCACTTCATCTCAACAGCTATGCAATTTAGCAACATCTCAAATCTATGGCCAAAATTTCAGGCTTTTGTGTAGCACTGAGGAGCTTTAACTGGTGATTATTTTCAAGACAGTAGAGCAAGACCTGCACAGAAAAAAAAAGTTAGTTCATGCACAGTCATGTGAATAATGAATTCCCTTATGTATCTGTAGAGATCCCCAGGTTAACTGTTAATGCAAGGGGTTTTGAGCAAATTCTGCAAGACAATCCAGCTTAAGCTAAATCTCAAAAATATTAGAGGTATCAGATATTGGACAGGATAGTCAAAGAAGAAAAATATTATTTTAGTAATTTGCCCTTGGCAAGATACTGTTTTTCTCTTAAAAATTAGAAACTTTTTTTCTGGTCATATTTGTACATCATTTCCCCACAGAATATGATGTAATCAGAAGCAATTGAAAAGATGAAAAAGAACCACAGCCCTTTACAGTTTCATCACATTATCTTTCAGGTGAAAGCTGAAAAGGAATAGCTGTGTTATCTGCTAACAGATCATCAACAGCCTTCCAGGAAATGAACTTACTATCCATGTAGAACAAGCAACAGAATCACTGGGTCTTGATTAACCAGAGGTTAAAATAAACAACTGGGAATCACCATTCCAATAGCCACTTTTAAAGCCTGAAAACAAATAAATTGATAATTACAATAACTGCTGATGGGAAAAGTCTGAGTGATAATTGCTTCATTCTTAAGCCAGGTACAGCCTCAGCTAGGAGGCAGCAAATTCAGGTATTTCAAAATATACTTCTTCAAAGCAGAAGGATTTGTAGGATTTTCAAGTAAGCAAACAGTTTAAAAACCCCCAGAACTATGCTAACAATACTAGTTAAAATTTAGTGGCAGCTTAAAATTTTTAATATGTAGATTTTTTCACAAAGTGTCATGAGGTGAACGCTGGCATCCTGTATGTTTCAATTGTTAAATTTAGAATAACCAAAATCAGTTTTTAACAAGTGGCAATTGAAATATTTACCCCACACCAAGCACTCTTTTCTTCATATTCCTTCTGTGCTGGGGAAAAAAAGAAGAAAATAAATAAAAGATAGAGGTAGGAAGTCTACTTGGGGAAAGTTTGTCAGAGCTACAGCTTCAGTCAACTCAAAGTCTTATAGTGTACAATACTTGAGAAGTTCTAGCTAACCATAATCTATAATAAATAATTCCTTTTTAGTAATCATAAAAATTTTACTGGGAAACTAAGGAAAAATTGTTGAAGACAGCATAGTCCACCATTGAGATAAAAAGCAATAGCTGCTCAGTCAAAGCAATGTGGTTTCTTTAATGAAGATCTGTTCCCTCCTTCAACAATTTGACTACACTAATAAGCTAACAGAATAGCCAATAATACGATTTTATGTGCTTTTTCACAAGGCATTATGAAGAGCTGTCTTAGAAATATTGACAAGGAAAATAAATAGACTTAAGCACACATGGATGTAGCCAGAGACATCCATTCTCTTGGTGCTAGGGAAGAAATTGTATAAATTTATTCTGAAACAGAGGAAGAAAAAATAATACTGGAATAACCCAATCTGTATTTATTAGTTCTATTATTGATACATTTCTTAGAGACTGGAAAGCAGAAGAGAGTCAGGAAATGAAGGTGCTCTGGATAAATAGGCAAAGGAACTATTCTTTAAAGAGAAGTAGAAGAATAAGGGGGATCAAGAGAAAAAGTACATTCTGTGTTGCCTTATATTGAAATACACTATCAATACTTAATTTTTTTTTTATGCAGAAAGGCAGAGCCTAGTACTATTTAATAAATTATTTTAAAATATGATTTTTCAAGAAAAATGCTAGTGGGCATCAAGTGTAAAGTCAAAACCAAGTAACTTTGCTTTATATGCTAGTAAGAACTGTTAAGTCATGAACATTTATACAGGTAAATTTGAGAAAGTAAGTCTTTGAGAAAGTATTTATAACATTCAAAACTATGCACTGTGGATTGCAGAGTAGATGCTGGACTTGTCCCAGGACATGGAAGCATTCCACCTAGAGCGAGATCCAAAGCCTTCCTCTTGTTAGAAGAGGGTGGTTTATTAGTTCTGGGAATCTGTGACAACCAGCCAGTGGAAAAAGAGGGAGCTGGAGATATTCCAGGTAAGGTATAGCAAAAATGTTTTTTTAACTGCAGGCTAGGGGTTTTTGTTGGGTTTTGGTTTGTATTAATTCTAACAATGTCCTCCAAAAACACCAATATCCCAGTTTAGCCTGTACCTATATTGCTGCATGAGCAGAAGTTGAGCAGTAACAGAAGAACTTTAAGTGAAAAAAATGTTTCAAGTGCAAAGCTCATAATAAATTCTTAGCTTACTCTTGAAACTTCAGGGCCTGGGCAGGCACTTAAAAGCCACAAACACACAGGTGGCCAAACAAACCCTGGCTGCTGCAGGGATCCAAAGCCACCGCTGAATGTTTGGGGTTTCGTTGCCTTCTCTTGGCGATCTGTTTAGCTTGAAGGGATATCAGCATTAGCTGACATTGTGCAGTGAAGTGTCTGCAGCAGACATAACTGATCATGGGAAGAACAAGAAAAATCTTATTTTTGTTCCCCACAAGTATTTCACAGGCAGTGGGTGGCTTTCCCAGCCCAAAGGCCAAGGTGCCAAAAGGCAGACAGGCGCTTTAAATTCACTGCTTCTCAGTGCAGTTGTTTGTCTTAACAGTGGTGCAACTTTACAACACTGTCTGACTGCTGTGAAAAGAAAGGAATAAGTTAAATGAAAGCTTTTAGACTTCCCCAGTAGCTTCTGTCACTCAAAACACAGCCACTTTTAATCCCAGTTCCAATAAACAGTGGAAACCATTCTCCTGAAATTCATGCGGCAAGGCAGCCGAAAGTGAAGGGTTCAGATGACCTCCTTGCTCTCAGGTCCTGGGGGATGCCAGCAGCTTTAGTGGTCAAGTCAGCTCATTAGAAAAGGCAGAAAACTAGTTCAAAGGTAAACAGAATGATGAAATAAAAGAGATATATTCTTAATGCATCCAGATTTTAGTCAGCCCTTTAGAGAGGACTAGAATTCAACGGTACAAAAATTCTGGAAGCAGACTAGCAGTCTAGGAATTTTTTAACTGAAATTTTTTTACATTTCAGAGGTAAAGGCAGCATAAGACTTTGCATCCCAAGTGTAGCCCATTTTTCAAGGAGGGAGATGTATTTCAGGAATATCCACTGTTAAAGCACACTTATTAAGTCCCTGCTATGTGGGTTAGTGATTGGAGTTAGAAATTAGATGTCAGAGCTTTGGCTGCCTCTTTCTGCTGATGTTCACATTTATACACATTCAAATCAGTTCCTTGGTCCAAGTTTATACCTACAGAGTTTGTTTTAATAACACCTAGCAAATGGATAAACTAACCCTTATTTAATATTGATAAAAGACTTAGCAATTTAAGAGTATCATTAAGTTGAGGGTAACTGAAGAAAAACATTATTTTAGAGCATGAAAGGGGCATTTTCTTTCTCCCTTGATGGCTGAAACTTGTCTCACACCACTGATAAAATCCTAAGTTAATGGGTGTTTAGTGTCCTGTGACAAATAATACATACTTTTGATTCCATTCCAAGCAAATAAGTAATCATCAGTACTGCGTTGGACCACTAAGCCACACAGAAAGGACAAATAGCCTCCATAATGAAAGAAACATAAAAATAGTACAAATACAGACAAACTATTCAAGGTATCACAGCACAAAAACATTTTGTGATTCCTGAAATGCCAGTATGGCGAGCTTTCATGTAATATTTTGTACTCTTCAAAAACACAGAGGGGGTCATTAACTATTTTGAAACCCTTGCTAACAAAAATGCTTGGTTGAGAGCTGTCTTTCATGCCTCCACAGAAGAGACAGCATAAAAATCTGTATAGATGGGTGAGGAAATCAACAACAAAAACCAAAAAAACCCCCAGAAACAAACAAACAAACCCCCCTCAAAGAGAGAGCCAAAACAAAGAAACCCAGCAACAACAACAAAAACCCACACAAGGGGGAGAGCTACTATAATACATCCTAAATGGATGGGAAGAGGAAAGGCAGGAATTTGCATTTAGCCCCAGGACCAGCACAGAGTAACAGAAATATACTTCATCTTCTCTTAAGGGCAAGGAGGAAAGCCAGAAGAACAGTGGAGCTGATGCTCTGGTCTCAGGTAGGCTCACCTAGAGAACATTATGCCAGTGTTTTAGTCCAGGCCAGGATCAGTTCCTGTCATAAATATTGTTGGGGCTGTTCTCACTTGCTTTTATTCACATTTCAGAGCACCCATAGCATGTGCTAAACAAATCTGTGCTCTGACTGCTGGTCTAGATGGCAAGACCATCATCTTGCCTTAAGGAGAAAAAACCCACAAAAATGTGTAGGATGGGGATGCCAGATCCATTGATCCTTTTAAAAAAAACTAAATTACTAACACAGATATAACCCTATTTGCTATCTGCCCCTTGGACTGGACTGTTATTTCTCCAAACAGACATTCAAAACAATAAGCACCCAAATTATTACAAGCCAAGAAAAGGAACAAAGAATTTACTGATAAAGAATAACTCAGTAAGGAAAAGTGAATGATTAGAGAAGCAGATTGAAAACAGTTAGGCTTTTTCTCCAAACCTTGAGAATTACCAGAAGCCAAAAATTCAAGACACCTAGGCAGGATATATGACTCTTTCAATTTCTACTGAGTTATAACTGAGTGATTTTCAAGATTTCAATGGAATATGCAAGTGCCACAGAGCCATAGTAGTCCGATTAAAAATGTATTACAGAACCCAAGGAGACTAAGCTCTGTCTCTGGTAACTCTGTTGAATTTATTAGTCCTTGCAGACTGGCTGCTATGATGATTAAAAGCAATTATTCATGTTAAAAGTGTGAGTGTTAATTTAAAATTGTCCCAATGTAACCCAAGTCTCCTGCTACCATACAGCCATCAAGCCATCCAGGAAGCAGATCTTCATGGGTTATAGCATGAATTATTTATTTACTGGTCTTCTAGAGCCATTCTTTATGAAAGAATTACAGTCACATAGCTAGGATGGTGGGAGGAAAAAGACAATCTTTGGAGTGTACAAACAGTATAAGATAAAGGTATTTTAAAATACCGAGGATATTAGTTGTCACTGTCAGTTCTTCTCAAAAGACTTTTTTTAAAAACCATGATTTTGGCAATAATTGTAGCACAGTCATATTTTCAGTTCATCAAGGGGAAAGTTTTAAAAGATGTTAAATAAAGGATTTAATTTCTAATACATTGTTGAATTCTTTACTAAATTTAGGTAAGCTTAAGACAAGTGAAACATTTTGGTAACACTCAGTTTGCCAAGGGATGCCTGATATTTTTCTCCTAACTCAATAAAAACCACAATACAGATAAGTGATTGTAGGGGTTTTTTCCTAGCTGCATGAATCCTCTTATTTCACCTCAAGACATCTGGCAAAATAGAGAAACAGATGCAGAATACTGACATCTTCATGCAAGTCATTCATGACCTAGAAAGAAATGGGCTGAAAAGCATGATCCTTTCTTGTGCTGTGCCTCTGTGGGGATGTTACTATTTGTCATCCCCACTTTGCTATATTTTGATATAGATACAGTCAAAGCACACATGCTTATGCCAGAGGCAAAATGACAAGAATACAGAAAATTACACCAGTGATAAAGCAGAACATGATTTTTTTTTTTTTTCTGCAGAGCCTTCAGTTGTGCTCTGGACCCCTCTGGTTCTCATTAATGAAGGGCAATACCCTGCATCACAACTTTCAAACCAATAGAAACCAATCTGCATCTGTTCCTTTGAAAGTAATGTGTACATGACAGTGTTATAATTCTTAAAATTGTAGACAGTAACCTGTTTCTTACATTTCAAGAGTTTTAAAATTAATTCTCTTTTCCTTTGAACTTAAGACAGCAAAGATGAACACAGACTAGCAGCTGAACTGCTATGTCCTTTATTCAAAATACATCAGCAACTAAGCAGAAACAAGCTAGACCCACAGAAAAAAGGTTCAACAATATCATATGTTCAATAATCTGTACCACTAGAAGTGGTAGCAAACAAACTGCATATTCCACAAATGCAAAATAAATACATAATTACTATCTAAAATTTAAACTTTTTGTTTGTTTGTTTTTTGTTTTTTGGAAAATCTAGCGGGTTTGGGGACCCACAGACTCAACATGCATGCTTGAAATTGAGGTTTTCATCTGTGAAAATATTAACAATGAACAAAATGTTTTTAGTAGAAGTTTCGCCAACTCAAAAAGAATGTAACAAAATCATCTCAGATCAAGTGGTGTCCCATTTCTCTGGAGAACTGGATACATTCCTGCTGAATATAATTTTATTGTAGCAATTTTTTAACTAAAACATGCAGAGACAGGGAAAATATTTACTGTGAATGCAATACATAACTGGGCCTTTAACAGAGCTGAAATTTGGCAATGGCAGGAACAGTACCTTTGACAGCACTGGTGTTTGTGCTAGTGAGCTGCAGCCACTTTCCTGAAAGATGTTTCACCTGAAGGCATGAAAGGTAACCAGCATAGGAGTAAGCCATCAAGAAAATATTTAAACTATGATTTTCTATACTTACCCTTTATATTTTCCAGGGTAAAAATGTGAAAGACCTTTTGCTAGGGTTTGTAAGGTGAGAACTAATATTACACCGGGACATCTACCCATTTCTTCATGTCTTTATTTACCTAGCAATTCACTTTTGACACTTTTAAGGAATGACAGTGCTATGGCAGAAAGAGTAAGGTGGACACACATCAGCTGGAGAATGTGTTTCTGTAGCTACATAGTCTGTAGCTGGCCCTGGCCTACAGCTTGGGCTGAGACAAGTGAAAGAAAACAAGGTGAAATCAATATTAAAGGTGGGAAAATAAACGCTGCGCTTTTTTCACTTGTTCATCAATAAACATATTATCTGTTCATTCGCTGTCTACATTTCTGAGCAAATATGGCATTCCATAAGGTAGAAATATTGGAAAGTTAATTTTGGAGCAATTACGCCCTTGCAGACTTCCTCAGTTTTCATTTTTATTTTTCATTCAACAAGATATTAGTGTTAATGATACCCTTGGCTAACCCCATCCTCACAGGACCAGGTGGTACATGTTAACACTTCCAAATTAGCAGCTATGTTTCAGATAGAGACACTGGTAGGCTTGTTCAGCCCTTTATAGGAGAAGAAGTTACTTGTCTCACTGCATCGGACAGGGTCAGGTCAGTACTCATGGGTTGGCACAAGTCTTAACTTAAGAGGTTCATTGTAAGGGTCTGCAGTAGTGTTTAGGCCAACACAGAGAGTAAAAATAAAGTTTCAGGTTAGCAGGCGAGAAAAATTTCCATAACAATGATATGGTTCAAAATATTCCAGTTTTATGCCAAGAAGTGTGGTATACTTTACCCTAAGGCATGCATGCCTATACCCTTTGGTTCATTTATTTACTGCAATCTTCCCTATAACTTCATTTTTCTTATTTAGGATTGCATTAAAGAAACAAAGAAAATGTCTTGCTAGAAATTAATGTTTTTCCTTCAGTTGAATTAAACTGGGGTAGCATGAACAGGAACTTGAGCAGGGACAAGCAACTTTATACCAAGAATTGTTTTTACACAGGCTTTAAAAGAGCACTTTTTTCCTTGTGAATATTTCCTTTTTCTTGGTGAGTGAGTGGAATGTGGGGCTTCTACCAGAGAAGACAAACATGTGAGAGAGAATGATGTCTGTCAATCATATTAATTGAGGTGAAAAAAAATCCTGGATTAAAAAGGAAGAGGACAGTTTTTAATGTTTTAAAGTAGTTCTAGTGTTCCATTAGCAGTGCTACCTTATGTAATAACACTGTGATTTTTATCTATGATTGACAGATGTATATATACGGAAAGGGTATTTTTACTAGAATTGTTTAGTCCATATTTATGTCTGCACCAATATCATTGTTCTCATAAAACCATACACCAAAACTGATGTAGTGAATCTAATCCAAAACCTGCACAGCTCATATGTGTTACAAAAGCTGATGACTTTTAGGCCCTTGGTGGAATGGTAGCAGGGAACAGCTTCTTCCTGCACGGAGCTGTAAAAGGATCAGTACTTACTGTCATTCCACTGCCTGCATCAGACAGCTCAAAAGCAGATGGTCCTGGCAAATTCTGTAAGTGTGTGAGGTGTGCTGACTGAGGCAAGAACTGAGCCCTTGTGTGACACAGAGGTCCAAGTTTCAGAAAATAAAAACCTTGTGTCTTCAGTCACCTGCAGTTCATTCCTTTTATTTAAAGAATTGCCTGAAACCTGCTTGGAGTGTTTCCAAGTGTGATATAAATATTGTGCTGATTCAAAGTACCTAGGAAAAAACTTCCCTGCAACAGGGTTAGTGCCAATTAAGATCGGCAACTAAGTCTAGGCTACTCTAGAATTAACATGGCAGCTCAGCATGGATAAGATATACATACTCATGAACAAATAAGTAATTCTGTTACCCAGCTTAATGGAAAGAGGGGATAAAACAGAAAAAGCAGACAATCCTGGGTATGTAAAGAAAGCATTAAGAAGAAATTAGTGACAGTGCAACACTGACACAGGCGGTAGCAGTATGCTCTGCCATGGATGGGGTGCCAGCAGATTCCTATACCGTGAATAAAATAACTGCTTCCAGACCTGATTTGACTTAAGGATAATCCCAGAAAGCAGTCAAATATTCCATTAATCAAAAGATAACTGTAGATACAATCCTAGCTTCCAATCCCACCACAGCCACTCAGTTTGCAGGTCCCAATGGTTCCCTCTTGTCATTTTGATCTCCTACTTACCTCTATGGCTTGTGCCATCCACTAACCACCATTTCAAGTACCTTTCTCTCCGGCATTCTTTTTTGTCTCTTGCAGTTGCTCTAACTCAAAGCCTTGTTCTACCTCAGCAAGCAGGGTTTATAGTTATTGGAAGAAAAAAATCTGGTAGAGCTCCAAGGGAAAAACAGAGAAGTGGCAAACAATTAGGCATTACCTCTATTACCCTGGCTCCTGGAGCTTGCTGTACCATGCATTTGGTGAAAGAAGTAGACGGGCAAAGATACTATATGCAGTAAAGGGACACACAAAAAATGCAAATGAAACCCTGTAAGCATTTTGAAAAAGATTCTTCTTTCCCTTCTTGAGTAGTTGCTTGAGGATTGTTATGGCATTCTTTAACACCAAGGTATTTAAGGGGCTCTGTAAACAGCACCTAACTTACTCTTCAGCTGGGAACCAGTTACATAGCACTGAGGCCATTTAACCCTCAGGAAAGGGCTTCCTGCAGCCTAAGGCAGGTTAGAGGGATCCCCAGGTGACAAAATCCCTGGGCCTCCCCACTTGCCTGCTATTTCTCTGGCTGCAGAAGCAAGCATCAGCAGCTGATCCAACACAGACGCTTCCAGGTAAGGCAGATGGGCTCCTCTGCACCCACTTCTCCCTAACTGCTACTGCCCTTCTCATCTGCTCTGCTCCTTTCCTTGGACTCCCTCTCTTGGATTCCTGGGTCAAGCAAGTGAAAGGGGTTAGAACAGGCTAAGGAGAAGGAACAAGATACTTCAGCTACTGTTTTGGACATGGATGCTGAACTTAGATCAGTACTAGAAACAAGGAGATACTGCCTTTCAAAACTGAAATAATGGAACAGTTTGGATGACTATGCTGCAGCTGAAGAAGGTACAGGAGGCTTTGTAAAACAATACAGAAAGATTAAACCACTATTTTTCACACAGCTACTCAGATCTAGGGCTTATTTCAGGCAATTACTCAGCAACGCACTGACATCTTAAGAGAGAGCGAGCAAGGAGGCCCCAAGACTTGAAACCACAAACTGGCCAGGTGCAGAATCTGTGTGCTCCAAGAGGATCTGTTACACCAATTACCTACTTGGTGGTTTGAGACAGTCTTGCAGGAATTGTGCTTCACACACTATCCACAGCAAATCATTACTGCATATGGTATATATTTACTAACATTCTACATATGGATGAACTATACCTTCATATCCATATATTTCCAGGGTTTTCTATGTCAAAGCTACAGGAGGAAGAAAACAGGAATTTTTACTTTAGTTCCTAAGCACTGGGATGCAGCTGATCCTTTAGATAGGTGCAAAAAATCCATAGTGTTACATACCCAAGCACATGCATTTCCCCGACTCACTTTGACTAACTTTGGTTTATGCTATGTTTCATTGCTGGCAGTGGAACTGTTGTACCTACAGAGAGAGCACAAGGGGTTTTAACATCCATAACTCACAAATGCCACATGCAGATGTGCTTTCACAGTTTACAACCCTGCTGAAATGCCTTCTCATAATTCGAAGAGCGCTTACACAGTTTCCACCGCATAGCAAAATTATTTCATAACAAGATAAGAATCTCTGCTGCAGCAGATGAAAAACATTTGTTTGGAATATTCCAGCTACACTGCAGATGAATGGCCTATTGCATTATTATTATTATATCCTGATTACAGAAAATGGAGAATACCGTGGGTTCAAGTTACCCGTGCTCTCTAGTCTTACTGGCAGTTTTGGGAATTCATTCTGTTTTCCTACTGGAGCCTCATCTAATCTAGAAGATGACTAAGAAGACAGCAATTCAGACCAAGACACATTTAAAAGCACAAGAATCCAGGATATCTGTAGTAGGGCACATTAATTTTTAAAATATGGAGGACCATAAAAATTTTCTTAATACAATTTTTTAAAATCATATATATAAGTTAAAGGCTGACATCATCTAAAGGGTATGAATGTTGCAAGCAAGAACATAAACACATTAAATTATGAAACAAGTCCTGGCGAGAAGTAGAAAATTATGTTCCTCACTCTTGCAAAGATGCTGTGGGAAAGGTGCAGCCACAAGATGTCCAGATCACCAAGTGGACAGGCTAAGTGAGCAGTTATAAGGAGATTTTAGATAAATTACATGATCACCCACTACTTAAACAATAGGACTGAAGCAGCTGAATCCTGTCTCTGTGTTGGCCTTTGACTTGTTTCAAGCATTCTATTTTCCAAGTCACTTAAACCATTCAATTTATTCAAAATTTAATGTTAAATTATTTTTTTACTTCATTAGCAGTACTCATATGTAAGACCAA